ACCTTTTCCTCGGCAGCAAATGCCTTTTATCTAAACACTACTCCAGTCTTTACTAAGTAAAGCTGGGAGACCCAGCTGGGGTGGTTTAACTAGTGCGTGGGTGCTGAGAGATGCCCGCAGCGCCCCGAGGTCTGCGGGACAGAGAGAAACCCGTTCAGGCGCTAAGCTGCCTCTCGGCGGTGTGCAGGCGGAACCGGGGCCACAGAGTTCCTGAGGACAGGTCCGAAGGAACAGAACCGGAAGTGCTGCGTGTTGGGAGGCCCCGTAGCCCGGACAGGCTCCCTCCCCCTTGCACCCTGTCTTTCCTACGGACGATCGCCTTCACCTGGCCTCCAAAGAGAGCCAAACGGGTGGGTCCTCCACCTTGGGCTCGGCTGGCTACCAGAGAAGAGACTGTCAGAAAGAGGATCAGGAGCAAGAATTTTCCCAGAGAGCCGTTTTGTCCTTGCTACGTACCCACGCGTGCCCCCCAGCCACCGGGGTCCCTGGGGCAGTGCGTCCCGCCTGCGTGACTCGGGGTTGCAGGGCCGCGGCAACCTCGCCCCGACTCTGTGCGGGCCAAGCTGCCTGCACACTGCTCACCCTTTACTTCGCACTTCTGCACCCGTGTCTGTTTCAACTTCTGTTCCCACTCCCGGTGCTGTTCTCAGTGTCGGCCTCCCGGACTTTAATGTGGGAAATGGGCATTTTCTCAGAAGCTCCAGTTTTCAGATTACCTTTGAGAACAGTCAGTTCCTGAAAGAGGCTTTGATTCTCAGCGCAGGCCCAGAGGGGTGAGCTCTGTTTATTTGAGGAGCGCAGAAAAAGGCCCTTCTCCACGGTCTGTTAATTAGATAAGCGGTGGCCCTGCTTTCTAGAGCCAGGGTGGCACTCACAGTCCTCAGTCTAAGAAAGCTGCTGCCCCTTCATCCTGTGAGTGACAGTCTTTGGCAAACAGTGATTAAATGGTGCAAGATCTAATAGCTCATGTGCACACTTTTAATTTTTTTTTTATAATTCCTTTCTTAAGGTGACCTAAACAAATTAGAGGTGAAAGAGGTAATTTGCAGAGAAAGAGATCTAGAATGAGTTCACAGTTCTGCCTCATGGGATACATAACCTCCTTCTGGAGCATTCCCTGTACTAAAACCAGCAGCGGCCAATATTTCAGATTGACTCAGACTGGAAGACGGAGAGAGGAAATATGTGCAAACACAAGGTACACAAATTTTAAAATTCTACTCTTTGTCAGCGTCGTACACTTTAAGAGAGACTCTATCTCTGGCTCATTACCAGAGTCTGTTTCTTAACATTGAAGCAGTTATCTCCTAGGAAATCTCAGGACTCACTTAAAAATCTTTTTCATGGACCCTAACTGGGAATCTTTCCAAGGCTTTCTGCTCTGCCGACCTAGAGTCCACATCTCTGCAAACAGCCATGACTGCCCCCTTGAAAAATAAGCACCAACCTGGATTCTAAAGTAACCAAGTGATTTTTTTCAAGAAGCATAAACTGAAAAGGAAAATGTCAAGCCTATTAAAATTTAATAGAACTTTAAAAGTATTATTTTCCTGATAGGAAAAAATACTGCTTTAGAGCAAGGTGAATATATCTATACATTTGTGAAGAATTTAATAGAACGTTAAAATAAGAATTCAGAGGCAAGTATTCCTATCAGGAATTTACTGTCCATTTCACCTAGGATTCCTGCCGTACTGTAAAGGATGGCTCGCCTATCCCATGTAAAAAAAGTACGGGAGACACAAAATTGAAGATAAAATACATCTACATCTGCATGAACTCTAGGAAGAACAAATCTAATCCACAGTGCTGACGGGCGGCTCAGTGGCTGCCTGGGTCGGGGATGGGAGTAGGACACAGTTGAGAAAGAGCCCAAGTGCATTTGGAGGGTGATAAACGTCCTATATCTTGACTGCGAAGGAGGGGAGGAGGGGAGAGTTGTTTCATGAGTAGACACATTGGTCAAAACCCACTGAATCATTCATTCACTTAAAAGGTGATCTTTTTCTCGGATGTACATTACACTTCCATAAGGATGATGAAAAAAAACCCAAAAGTATGCACCTTTCAAATATATACACTTAATATATAATAAATATAATAAAATATATTTTATACATTCAAGATATAGCTTTATTTTGTTGTGTTTTCATATATTTCTTTAAAAACATATATATACATATTCAAACCAAGGTTTATCTCTAACTTTATTTTGAGAATCATATGTAAAAATCTTCATCTGTCCCCAAATTCTTCATATTTGTTGTTTTCATGTCTTTATCTTTTTCTGCCATGCTCCATTACTGACCTCTACTGAGCATTAAGTGGATTTTACAAGAAAATGTATTATAAATCCTTAATAGGTATCCTTTCTACCAGTTTACTGGTTACTGTTTCTCAGCAAAGACTTATATTTAACAAAACTCTTGCATCTAAATAATATATTTCTATTAGAATGGCTGGTGGAGCGATATGCAAGGCCAGAATAATCATGTGCTCACTGGAGGGGCTTAGAGGGCTTAAAACTTAGTTGCCGGGGAGCCTGGGTGGCTCAGTCAGTTGGGCATCTGACCTTGGCTTAGGTCATGATCTCACGGTTCGTGAGTTAGAGCCCCACGTCGGGCTCTGCGCTGACAGCTCGGAGCCTGGAGCCTGGTTCGGATCTGTGTCTCCTTCTCTCTCTGCCCCTCCCCTACTCACACTCTATCTCTCTCTCTCTCTCTCTCAAAAATAAGTACAAATTAAAAAAAAAACAAACTTACTTGCCATGGGATGCAGTCTATTGAAATCATTCTCTCACCTTTTTCTAATGAGCTTTAAATTGTTCTATTGTACTTTTAAAATACTGTCTTCAAAAATACTGTGTCTGTACGAGTGTCCTATTGCTATTGTAACAAGTTACCACAACATTAGTGGCTCACAACATTTATAGTTCTGGAGGTCAGAGGTCCGTATTTATAGTTCTGGAGGCCGGAGGTCAGAAATGATTCTACAGGGCTAAAACCCGCACGCTGACGGGGCCAGCTTCCTTTGCGGAAGCTCCAGGGGAGAATCTGTCTTTGCCTTTTCCAGCTTCTAGAGGCCACCTGCGTCATGGCCCCTGTGCAAAGTGCACCCCCCAAACTCTGCCTCTGTCGCCACACTTCCCCCCACTCTGACATTCCCATCTGTCCCTTATAAGGACTGGATCCATCCAGATAATCCGGAATGACGATCCTATCTCAATGCCCTTAACTTAATCACATCTGCAACGTCCCTTTCTCTATATAAGGTAACATACAGATTTGGGGGATTAGGAAATAAATATCTTTGCAAGACCGTTCCATCTAGCACAGTGTCCAAAAACCGTTGCCAGGAAATCTCTCCTTTTTAAAAACAAAATGGACTTACAACAAAAGCAAACAACCCAACTTAAAAATGAGTAAAGGATTCGAATAGGCATTTCTCCAAAGCAGATATGCAAATGACCAAGCAAGCATATGAAAAGACGCTCAGAGTCATTCATCATTAGTGAAATGCAAATCAAAACCACAATGAGACACCATTTCATACCTACCAGGGTGGCTATTTTTTAAAAAATGGAAAATAACAAATATTGACAAGGATGTGGCGAAAGTGGAACCCTCTTCCTTTGCTGGCAGGAATATTGGCGGTACAGCCTCTGTGCGGAACAGGGGCATGACCCCTCAGCAAGTTAAATATAAAATCGCCCTGTGACCCAGCAATTCTCCTGGACATATGCCTAAAAGAACTGGAAACAGGTGCTCACACAAAACCCTGTATGATGTTCGTTACAGCACGACTCACAACAAGCACGAGAGGAAAGCGATGCAAACACCCCTCGGTGCATGGATGGGTAGTCAGATGCTGTACGTGCACGCAAGAGGATTAATATCACTTATTGCACCATAAAAAGGAATGGAGTACCGATACGTGCTGCGCTAGGGAAGAAGCCTGAAAGCACTACACTAAGAGTAAGAAGCCACTCCCAAAAGGCCACATATTGCGTACAATTTCATGTATGTGAAATATCCAGAATAAGCAACTCCAAGGAGACAGAAAGCAGCTCAGTGCTTTGCCAAGGGAGGGGGTGGTCACTGCTTAATCGGTAAGGGACTCCCGTCTGGGGTGGTAAAAACTCCGAAACTCAAGAGTGGCCATGGTCGCACAACGTTATGAACGAATTTTATGCCACTGAAGTATACATTTAAAAATCATTAAAATGGCAAATTGTGCGTTCTGTGTATTTTACTACAATTTCTGAAAACTATATAGAAATATTTCTTAATTCACGCCTTTCAAAATTCCTTTTCATAAACTCTTTCCTGCCTGTGTTGTTCTCCCGTGCTTCAGAACGTTCACACCCTGATTCAGTCTTTTCTTCTCATGGAAGCACCAAGTGTCTTCAGCGACCTGTAGGGGGGATGCTCAGGTGTAAAACAGGCTGCTGGCAGCTTCCAGACTTTCACATGAGAAGGCTTTCGAGTCTGGCTCCTGTGGTGACACCCAGGTTATTTTCCACCGTGAGTCATTGCATGTTTAAATGACATTCTGACGCAACATCCCAAATCATCAGCAATGTCAATATTGGATGAATCGGGGTTGTTTTTTTTAAGGATTGAGAGAGACCGTATATCTGGAGATCATTTTTAAAGAGTCACAAGACACAAGCCATCATTCCGAGCTGACCTTGGAGGGGAATTACCAGTCCAGCAAGTTGTACACATAATGTTTGCCTTGTGCTTCCTTCAGGATGCAGTGAAAAGCTGCTCCTTGAAAACCTAGCCTTTTATCTATAAGCAAAGTTCATAGATTATAAAACTACAATTGCACTTTAATAAAGAGTGGATAAAAACGGGTTCTGTGTAAGAGGTACAGCTGAAAATACTATATTTTATATTAATTTGCCTTTTTGTGCTTGTGTAAATCCAGCTGGCCCATTGGGGCCTCCTGAGCATTTAACTAATAGTGTGATTCTCTCCATCACACTCAGGAAAACATTGCCAGGGGAAGCAGAGAAAAGTCCAAATACCTGGCTTCTGACAGCGGGGGGCCTGACTTCAAGAGAACACCGTTCCCAACATATCTGCTGTGAACATCAGCCAGGTTTGCTTTTATAAGAGTTTCTAGAATAAATTAGAAAATATTGAACAGTATGACCTCCTTTGGAAGGTTGACCATTTATGTGACTATATTAAAGGCTCTGAGAATTCCTGTAGTAGACAAGCATGCTAGATTTTGTTTAGCCTAGCATTTGTTTGATTCTAGAATTTATTATGACAAGTCACGCTGTTTGCAACCTATAGGAGATTATATTCCAAAGGACTCATTAGAATTTCATGTACACCATTGGCATTTATTTTTATCTTCCCATTAATAATTAGCCCGCAGGAAGTAACATGGTCTAATGTAGTGTAGAACCGGGAGCTCATTTTCACTCAGCCCCAAATAATGAGCTATCATCTGCCAGTCACGGCTGTGAGAAGGTGAATCACACTAATATTGAGTATAAGAATTATATTACCATCATTAAGTTCTACCACTAATTATACATTTAGTGGAGAGAACAGGCGTCCATAAAAGCAAGAAAATGAACAAATACCCATTCTTCACAGGACCCTGGCACGCTATGTGATAAAAACTTGAAGACCTACTGCCAGAAAGCATGTGCTAGAAGTCACGTCCACAGACCAGGACTTCTGCGCAAAACACTTAGGGGCAGGTGGCCGCGGGGAGCTCCTACTCCAAGGGTGGCGTGCAGGGACTCACAGGAAGTGGATGGCTGAGGGTATTAAGGAAGACAAGGTGTCCCCTTGACCTTCCTCTGCACCAGTGGCTCAAGTTTTCCCATCTCTGTGAGGTCAAGACCCTACCCTGGATAGAGCAGCATCTCCATCATGGTGCAGAGGCTGACAGCAAAGAGAGGGGGTTGGAGGGCTGTGTGTGTGTGTGTGTGTGTGTGTGTATGTGTGTGTGTGTGTGAGAGAGAGAGAGAGAGACGGCAAGCACGGTGCAGCACTACTAGATGTTCATTCCTGCTCCTCGTCATTTGTCTAATTGAAATCCAAAAAATAGGTGGTCGCTGTAAGACAAACAACCTGTTAGACCGTCTCCAACTGGGGATTTCCACGGAAAAACCCTGCTTGTTTCACAGCTGTGTGCGTAAGATGCGGTGTGCAGCTTTCTGGCCTAACACTCAACAGTAGTAATTGTTTCCTGCGGGGACCATGCATGTAGAAATAATTGTAAGTAAATAAAAGCATGTAGAGTAAACAAAGTTAAAATCATACACAAACTGCATGACAAATTGGTGTGGGCTACTAAATAGCAAGAACAACAAAAATAACGCATTTTGTAAGACTTGTGAGATCATGGAATGATGATAATTTGATTTTATTTAAAATACCCACAGCTCCCAAAATGTGCGTGAAGACATCCCGGCCCCCACAGTGTACCCACAGGGAGAGTGCAGGGTATTTTAAATGTTCACGGGAAATGCGGTGCCACCGGGCTCTGCCAGTCACCCTGCAAACTCCAGTCCGTTCACATTTCCAGTATCAGACTGTGTTACACTGTCGTACCTTGCAAAGCCACGTCTTTGGTAGTTACTATGACAAAAATCAAGTGCCTCAACAAAAAGTGATGTGGAACAGAAAATGAAGGCGGATGTGTCTAGCCTGATTCCCGGCTAGTTGCAGATGCTTCTAGCTCCTCCAGACACGATTGAGAGCAGGACCCATTTCTTACTCACTTTGCACATCGTCCAGCAGGAATACGATGCCTCGCATTCGGCAGGCCCTCCGTAACTGCCTGGGCCGTGCTGATTGCTAGACAATCACAGAACGCGGCAGGTCACCACAGTGCCAAGTACTTGACATTGTGCATATGACAATGGTGAGTGTGTTTTTGCAAATCAGAGCCTGCGCTGAGGAGTCTGTGGGGAAATCATGTTGTCCATGTGTGATGAAGCAAGAAAACCCACAGTCCTTTCTTCTGACCCGTCTGAGATACCGTAAAGGCCACAGGCTTCCTCTCATTGTTAGAATAACGTGGGCGAGATAGTTTTGTAAGTGACAGAGGAAAGGCATCACCGAATAAACCCTTCAAGGTTAAGAACGGGATAAAGGAGGCACCACGTTTGTTCCAAATGTTCCCAATGTCCTGTGTCCTAGGAAAAAGAGACAACGTGCAGCCCGCTAAGGAAATGCGTGAGGAAGGAGAGACCCCACTATGGAAGGGGAGGGATGGGGAGGACTTAAGATACAGGGTTAAAAAGTAAAAAGTAAAGCTGTATGTGGGTAGCTAGCTTTTCAGCCACATCAGGCATGATCAGGAGGGAAGGCCAGCAGGCAGAAGGAGCTGACCCAGAGGGAACAGCGTCTGCGCGGAGGCTGCCCTGCTTAAGAAGAAGAAGGAGCTCAGCACAGCCCCACTCAGGATGGGAAGGTGTGGAGAGCGGGGCCACCCGACGCCGTCTGTCGCCGTGATCGATGCTTCCCCAGACGTACTAAGCAGAACACTGTCGGCACCGGAGGGGGTTTAGCTAGTGCAGAATGGGGATGTCTTTTTCATTGTAATGGGGATACAAACATCCCATGCCTTTTAATATATACCTAGCACCAGCCCCACAATTTGACAGTATTATTGCCAACAAGATGGCGGAAGTGGTAAGCACTGTCGTTACCGGCCTGACACATAAGGCGTGGACCTCAGGCAAGCCCCAGAGCGGCTAAGTGGGTCTGTCTGAACTCATGAAGACAGTAGGCAAATGTTGGAAATTGGACAAACACTGGTTATGATGATTCCCCAAGAAATTGGCCTTGGCATTTCTTAAACTTTTCAAGGCCTTGTTATACAAAAAAAAAAAAAAAAAAAAAAAAATTAACATGCAAAACCTAACTTTGGAAAAAAAGAAGCTTGTTTGCTGGTGCGTCTGGGCAGGAGAGCAGTTGTTTGGAAAATTACAAAGGGAACAAATGAAATATTTCATGCCCAGGCAGCCGACGGTACAACTCGCCAGATACAAAAAGAAGGACCATGGGCGCATCTAGCAGTCATGTCAGGCTTCCCCATATTTTGAATACCTAATGGGGCACAGGTCTAATTAGGGGAAAAAAATTTTCTTTAACCGTAAATTGTCTCGTTTTATGCCTAATCTTTCCTTTTGCCACAAGAAAGGGAAGAGTTTGCATTGATTAGAGCATCTGTCATTCGGAAAGAATAATATAATAAATAAGTTCAAGATGAAGAATATTTGTATTAGTTCCTTCCCTGAAGCATGATCTTTAAGAAATAAGAAATGTAAGAGAATAATATTTCATGCTATTATTTTCCCACACTGATTTTCAGCAATTTCCAAAGTATTTCCTGTTTTTAGTGCTTTAGTCCACTTATGCCCTCCTTAGGGAAAAAGATGATCAAGGAGTATTTCTTGGTACATACACTGGATTTATTCCAGCTTGTTTTGTAATAAAAAAAATATTCTGGAACATATTAGTTGGTAGAAATGAGGCTGGGATGCTAGGAAAAAGCTTCTTTAACAAGAGTGTTCTCCATGTGTAGAACCTATTGAAATGCTAATGACTGGAGTATTGAGAATTATCAAGAACACTCTGTGTGTGTGGTGTGTGTGTGTATGTGTAGAAAGAGAAATATTCTTACTCAATTAAAAGAATGTGAATGTACTTTTAGGACTCAAAAGCAATATTGATTTCTAGTCTTCCCGTTTATCATCAAATCATTTTCCCCAAGGAGAAGAAAATAATGCAAGAGAATTTGTTGATATAATGAATTACTACTGAGTTAATAAACCACAAATAAACTCACGTCTTTATGGGTACAAGTGTGATTTAGTAAACACAAGGAAATCATAACAGTATCCCCAACTCCAAATCCAAATGTGTGAAAATTAAAAGCAGTGGCTACCCGCAGTATTTAAAACTAACTTCAGAGTTCACTTTAAGACGTGGCTAGATGAAGCCACAGAAGTGGCTAGTGTATAAATGAAAATTATCAAACATGATAGGACCCATCATCACCAGTGGGTATATAGAAAAAAAATCAAACACAAGCTTGAAAATGGTTTGTTCTAAAATGGGATTATAGAGGCGCTTGGGTGGCTCAGTCGGTTGAGCGTCTGACTCTTGATTTCCACTCAGGTCATGATCTCACGGTGGGTGAGATGGAGACCCGCGTTGAGCTTTGCACTGACAGCACAGAGCCTGTCTGGGATTCTCTCTCTGTCTCTCTTTCTCTGCCTTTCCCCTGCTCATACACACGTGCACACGCTGTCTGTCTCAAAATAAGTAAATGTTTTTAAAAATGAGATTATTAATGAAGGGTGATAGGAGTTGGGAAGAGAGAGACCACTATCCAGAGAACAACTGAGAAGTCTTCAAAGAGGAAGTGGCATTTGATTTGGATCCTGAGAAGCAGGACGTGGACATGCAGAGGTAAGGAGGGACAAAAGAAAGAAATCCAGACAGAGGAGCCACAATCAGCAGGGAAACAAAGATAAAAGCATGTGATACGCAGCCTTCAGGAGAATTAAATCAGTTTGGAAGAAAACCCAGTGTGTATGAAGGAAATTACTCATAATAGTTAGAATTAAGTATGTGAGACACTAAGATGCAAATTAGGTCAAGCTCTTTCTTCTGCTGCTGATTAATTTAAATTCAGGTGTTGTTTTTTCAAGGAAATTACACTGTCTGAGGTTGAGGTTCCCTGTGCATTCTCTCCTCACTCCCATACTTTCCTCTCACTTACCACACTTGGAAGAAATTCCTTATCTGTCTCTTTTATCTGCACACTCTGGAAAGGCAAGGATGGAGTTTGTTTTGTTCATCAACAAATTCCCAGCACTTAGTATAGAGGCTTTTACAGTGTGTAATAATTATTTGTGAAGGGGAAGGAGTGAGGGAGAAAGGAAAGAAGAGGAAAAATGATAGTCAAGGCCAAATGCTGGAAAGTCTGAATGTCAGATCAGAAAGTTGAAAACCAGGAGATGAAGGCTTGCTATTGAAAGTTCCTGAGGGGAGCCTGGGAGGTGGGGTAGCTGAAATGATCAAACCACAGGCAGAGGGTGACTCAGCAGCCTGTAATGCAGCGGACGAACAAACCAACCATCGCACACAGCAGCTTCGTCAAGTACATATGATAGACTCTTAGTTGATGGACAACTTTTGGGTCTTTGGTAGCCACAGACGGTGTGAGTTTCAGGATCCCCTATCTTCTTTAACCAGTGGACTCTGTCTTATATCTCTAGAGGTGTGAAAATGCCACCAGAGACTGCTTGGTACTATAGAGAGAGAAAAAACCTCTTCTGGAACAGCTGATTATTTATTGAGGATAAGCTTTTTTGCTGAACTCTTGCCCGCTTAAAAAAGAGAACACATGTAATGTCCTAGGGGATGAATTGGGGGTGTTTGAACTGGTTCAGCTCCTAGCTGCTGATGCAAGGCACAGAGGGCCAGATTTGAGGTAAAGCCTAGAGATACACAGAGCTCTAGCATTTATTCACTGATGACTGTAGTTGAGTCCCTGAGTGTCTCTGATCCTATTACCTCATCAATAAAGTGAGGGTTTTATTTGTCCTTCTCTGCCTGACTTATTTCGCTCAGCATAACACCCTCAAGGTCCATCCATGTAGCTACACATGGCCAGATTTCATTGTTTCTCACTGCCGTGTAGTATTCCATGGTATAGATAAACCACATCTTCTTGATCCATTCATCTGTTGATGGACACTTAGGCTCTTTCCATGTTTTAGCTATTGTGGAGAGTGCTGCTATGAACATTGGGGTACATGTGCTCCTGTGCCTCAGCATTTCTGTATCCCTTGGGTAAATTCCTAGCAGCGCTATTGCTGGGTCATAGGGGAGTTCTATTGTTAACTTTTTGAGGAACCTCCACACTGTTTGCACATTTAGGAGGATTAGGAGGAACTTAACGGAGGACCATGGGGGAGAAGAGGGGGGGAAATGGTGGGGGAAAGGGAGAGAGGCAAACCATGAGAGACTCTTGAATGCTGAGAACAAACTGCGGACTCATGGGTGTGGGGGAGGAGGGGGGAGATGGGCATGGAGGAGGGCACTTGTGGGGATGAGCACTGGGTGTTATATGGAAACCAACTTGACGATCAACTATTTGTTAAAAAAATAATTAAAAAAATAAAGTGAGGGTTTTAGTGCAGGAAGTCACTAACATGCCTTTAGAGCTGCTGGATTATAAAAGTATTACTTTAAAGCATTACAAAAGGAAATACGTACAAAAGCATCACAAATTGCGAAAAGGTATACATTTTATATGACCATCTTAAAAATAAATCAATATGTTATGCTCAAAAAGGAAGACATCTACACAATTTTGTTGAATTAATTACCCCTTTTGTTTTTTTTTTTTTATTTCTAGGAGAGAGAGAGAGAGAGATGGCGTGAGCAGGGGAGGGTCAGAGAGAGAGGGAGTCACAGACTGAAACAGGCTCCAGGCTCTGAGCTGGCAGTCAGCACAGAGCCTGACGCGGGGCTCGAACCCACGAACCGTGAGATCATGACCCAAGCGAAAGTCGGACGCTTAACCGACTAAGCCACCCAGGCGCCCCTTAATTACCCCTTTTGAAGGTAAAATGAATAGTAATGGAATTATCCAGTGATACTTACTTTCAGAATTTAAAATGGGGTAAAAAAAAAAAAAGCCAACTAAAATTTAATAAAGAGTAGCCACCATTGTTTATTGAGTTGGGTTTATAAAAGTTGAAGACATGAAGGTAGAGTGACAATAAACTTCAATGTATATAATATGGATACCAGCTGGTTACTACTGACATTTCCAATTCTCTAAGAAATCTAATTAGTTGCCAAATGACTCAATCACAGACAGTATAATTAGCCTGATTTAAATCCTTTTTCCTCTAAAAGTATTATTTTAAATATTTACCAAGACTCACTTTCATTGTTCTAATCATATAAGTCAATTTTTCTTCCCTCCAAAGTCAGAAGAACATGTAGACCATGTTTCTTGAACAATAATTGTCCTTTTTATTCTTACTAAGAAGTGGTCGAGGTAAACATACATTATTTACTAATGAGCTTAATTTAATATTAGTTTAAGGTCTTAAAGTTAACTAAAGGTCTAGAAATTACAAAATTCACCAACATATTAAGCCCTTACAATTTCATGAGTTTCAGAGGATTAAAGGATATTCATAATTGAAATTTAATTGGACCAAGCACAATTTTAGATTTTTTAACATTAAATGATTTGTGGTTACAATAATAACTTATTGGGCCCATAGAGCTAATATAGATTTTTTTCAAATTTTAATCACAGAAATTATATCCAAGTCTTGCCTTACCTAAAATATTAAGCTAATAATTTTTATGAGGTAATAAGCTCAGAGAAAAATATGTAGTTTCTATAAGCTATAATTAAATTACTCTTATATTATGAGTCTTTTAAAAAAAATGAACCTCAAATACATGTGATCCAAAACTATGAAGAGTTTGTGTAAGTTATAATTAAATTACTCTTATGTGATGAGTCTTCTTTCAAAAAATGAACCTCAAAAATGTGTTTTCTGAGAGAAGTTAAAAATGGAAGAGGAAGGAAAAGAAGACATGAGAGAGAGTGCTTAAGAGAGATGATGAAATCATCAGTGTTAAAAGCTAATCACCTTCCTCCTTCGCAGAGGAAAGGTGTGCAGGGAGGACCAGTCTCTCGTTTACACACACACTCACACACGTAGTCACTCACACACACATGCTCACACTCAGACAAAACACTTAGGCACGTACATAACAAAGTAAAAAGGGATCTCCTGGGTTGTTTTTTTTTTTTTTTTGGTTTTTTGTTTTATTTTTTTAATGTTTTTATTTATTTCTGAGAGAGAGCAGGGGAGGGGCAGAGAGAGAGGGAGACACAGAATCTGAAACAGGCTCCAGGCTCTGAGCTGTCAGCACAGAGCCCGACGCGGAGCTCGAACGGGGCTCGAGCCCAGGAACCCTGAGATCATGACCTGAGGTGCAGTCAGTGGCTTAATGGACTGAGCCACCCGGGCGCCCCAAGGGATCTCCTGTTTTAAATAAAGTAATCTCTCTTTTAGATCAGTAAGGCAGAGGATCCCTTCTGGCAGTTTCTTCCCATTTATATTCTAATGTACATCGCAAAATGACAATCATGGTTATGTCAAAAGCTTCTCGGAGTGGTCATTGCAACTCCAGGTCCAACATGGTGGAGTTACAGCCGCTGGAGATGTGCACTCACGTTAAAGAGCTAAGGGAGCAAGTGTTTGTCCCAGAGAACCAAACACCCCGAGAAGATCGCACGAGGACCACAGACACTAGGAACGGTTCTTGGACAACCTCTGCGACTTCTGGTCTCTGGACTATACCTACTAACCAGTCATCACTAGTTGGAAGTGCAAGGAAATTCGCAAAAAATAAGCAGAAGAAACCAAATAAAACATTTCTCAAAGATACAAAGGTAAGACTGAGGAAAGTTCTTATAAGTGTTTGAAAAGGCGGCCCAAGCCAGAGTTTGTCCGCAGAACATCAGTCTGATGAGACCTGAACCCATCAGTCCCTCGAGTGCGCTGGAGGACGGCCCTCTGGAGCCTGTGCCCATCCGCCCCTCAGAGCCCCCTCCCCAGACCCACAGGAGAAAGTGAGGAGTGGCGGTGTTCCTTTATCAAGGCATTTTACCATCAATAATAATGTTCATATTTAATCAGATAGTGAAAGGATCCTTAAAATGATATCTTAGTTCCAGAAGATAAACAAATTTGAAAATAAACACAGCAGCAGCAAAATAAGAAATCAGGAGTTCCGACAGAACCTGGGTCCCGTCATTTCTCACAGTTGAAGAGATTCCTCAGTGGAAGGCTCTGAGGGTCCCAAGGGAGCACCCATTCATGAGTCAAGGGTTCTGGGCCTCAACACCCAGGGCTTCTTTAGTAGATCTTAGTGGAATTTGCAGGACTGTTGGGTAGTGAGCCCCCCCAATACCGCAAGAAAAACCTATCACTAAAAGACAAGTTTAGTAGACTTTCTGCAATGAAGGAGGAACATCACCTTCATAGTCTTAGAAAGGAATCAGAAGGGAAAAGTCAGGGGAGATTATTCACAGCATTTGAGGGGCTTGGCCAAGTGATTTTCGGCCAAGCAAGGAACTAGTTGGCATTGGACAGAAGTAATGCCAGAATATATATATATTTTTTTAATTTGAGAGAGAGAGAGAGAGCATGCATGAGCAGGAGAGGGACAGGGGGAGAGAAAGAGAGAATCCCAAGCAGCCTTCACACTCAGTGCCAGCCAGTTGGGGGGCTCAATCCCATGACCCTGGGATCATGACCTGAACAGTAATCAAGAGTTGGGTGCTCAACCAACCGAGTCACCCAGGCACCCCTCAAAACATTTTTTAATGGGTCAGCATAGTGAGGAGAGGGTCTTAAAGTAGCCGTTGATGAATAATAGGTTAGTCTCCATAAATTAGCAATTTGAGTTGGTTCCGTTTTATCTCCCAGGAGCAATTATTTCCGGGAGTAAGCAGCTAAGTTACTTTTGCTTGGTCTCAACATTGTCTAGTGCGCTTCCTTCCAGAATTATTTAGCACAGGACCAAAAACTGTCAGTTTGGCTTTTCATGATATACGACACCACAGAGGCTATGAGTATGGACTCTGGGTTTGTACTGCCTGTTTTCTAACCCCAGCTCCTTAGCTAACGAGCTGTGTGACCGAAGCCACTGAATTCTCTTTCCGTGGTCTCCGTTGTTCAGCTGCATAATCACAGCTTATATTTACCGACCTATCCCTACTGCGTTCCAGATGATGTTTTACGTATTTTACTTAACTCTTTACAACAGCCCAGTGGGGAAGCACAGTCGGGCGCTGTCGCCAGGTAAGGAAACCAAACTAGAGAAGTTTAATAACTCTACCATCATGTCACAGGGAAGTGAAAGAGCCACGATGTGGCCTGTGGCGGCCTTCAGAGAGCGCCCAGTTCACTGCCATCGGGGGGCTGACTGAGATGGTCTAGACGAGACGTCTGGTTCCTGACGTGTGGTAAGTAGTCGCTGAATGTGAGCCGCTACCATTAAACTATTAAAATGAAAACCCAGCGAAAGTGCAGAGTTCGGAAGCAAACAGGATGCAGACATGGCTCTGTCTCTGATTTTGAGACTTCATAAGCTGCCAAGTGTAAGAGTCATAACTCGTTTGTAAAAAGAGGAGAAAAAAATTCCCCTGTAAAATAAAACAGTTACACCGTGTATATATTACAGCCCTTCTTGTTGCACCAAACGGTCAGAGATTACAAGGCTTGCAGGAGTCATAATTATGCGCCACTCCGCTACCCCCAGGTCATGGGCTCACGGGCATGAGATTGAGCCCCACGTCAGGCTCCGCATTGACAATGAGGAACCTGCCTGAGATTCTCTGTCTCCCTTTCTCTCTGCCCCTCCACTGCTCACGTGTTCTCTCTCTCTCACTCAGTCTCTCCCAAAATAAACTTCTCTATAAAAAAGAATTCCTTCCTAAAGTAAATGAAAGAAAACATGACCACTGGAAGATTCACACAAGAATATTCATAGCAGCTTTATTCAGAAGAGGCAAACGCAGAAGCCCTTCAGGCGCCCCTAAGTAGGAGCATAGGCCAACGCATGCCAGCATGTTTTAAACATGGATGAACATGAAAGTATTAGGGTGAGCAAGAGGAGCCTTATCAAAAGACAATATAGTAAATTCTTTGTGAATGTTTAGGACACACAAAATTAATCCGTAGAGGTGAAAAATGAAAAAAATTAACTTGCTGGGGGAAGACTGATGATTGGAAAGGGGTGAGAGAGAAGAGGAAAGCTCTGGTGTCGAGGACAAGTTCGGTGTGGGGATGAGTTTTGAGTTCCACATCCGACAAAACCCACAGAATGTACATTTAAGATACATATATTCTGTGTAAATTTTACCTCAGAGGCAAAAAAAAAAAAAAAAAAAACGACAACCATAAACAAATACTGAGGTCTAATTAATGAAACATACAACGAAGTATTTAGTGGGAAATGTACTAATGTCCACAACTGACAGCGAAGTGCATTCAGAAATGGTTTAATGTGTGCGTAGACTTATTTCCGTAAGGGTCTGAAAACGTGACTTACAAGCTTCGGGACAAGTGTACAGCGCTCACTGTCCTCTTTCTGGTAGCTTTGGAATTTCCCATAAGTGATGCTCAGAAAACCAGGAATGACAACCCAAAAAGCATATCTGCTTTTATTGAGAAATTACTTTGCGCCACACTCTCCGTTATCCTTATAGCCTATTTTTTAAATCTTTCAAATATCCTGGGGCGCCTGGGTGACTCAGTCGGTTAAGCGTCCGACTTCAGCTCGGGTCACGATCCCACGGTTCGTGGGTTCGAGCCCCGCGTCGGGCTCAGAGCCTGGACCTGCGTCAGATTCTGTGTCTCCCTCTCTCTCTCACCCTCCCCTGCTCACGCTGCCTCTCTCTCTCTCTCTCTCAGAAATAAATTTTAAAAAACCACTTAAAAAAGCCCTGAGGGTGGATATTATTATCCCCATTTAACTTAACACCCAGAGGGGCTAAACGAGCTTTCGCAAGATCAAAAGGTCTGGGGTAAAATGACGCAACCACTCCGGAAACGTTCTGAGGGTTTTCTATGACACTAAACGAGCACTGGTGCAGAAACTTCTCGAGAAGCCCTGCCCAGGAGAGACGGACACGCGCGTCTGCAGAAGGCCTGCACGGGGCGCCTGCCAGCCCGACGTGCCGCACAGGACCCACACGCGGCTCTTTCCGGGGTCACGCTCGTGGCAGCCGGTTCGCAGACGGCGGAAGCCCGAGCCCCGCCGTGTGTCTGCCCTGCTCCGCGGCCTCCGCGGTGCCCACGAGCCTGAGGGCGGGGGCGGGGGCGGGGGCGGGGCCCTGGGGCGCCGCGTCGGACGGAGGACCTGAGGCCTGAGCGCGAGTCCGGGCCGCGGAGTGAACTGGCTTTACGGCCGCAGGACCGAGCTGTTGCTGCCCTTTAACAGGTTTTACGTGTTTAAAGCGGTTCTAGGCCCGCCGCGAAGCTGAGCGGAACGCACAGAGACGCACGTCCCCGACGTCCCTTGCCCGGCACGCGCTCGGCGCCCGCGTTACCGCACCCCACGGGTTGGGCCACCGCGCAGCGGCAGGTGTGCGCGTTACAGTATCACACGGAGTAGCTCCACTGCCCCAAACCCGCTGTGTCCTACCTGTCCCCCCCTCAGCCCTACCTGTCCCTCCCCCCTCAGCCCTACCTGTTCCCCTCTCCCTCACCCCTGCCTGTCCCTCCGTCCCTCACCCCTACCTGTTCCCCCCTCCCTCACCCCTACCTGTCCCTCCGTCCCTCACTCCTACCTGTTCCCCCCTCCCTCACCCCTACCTGTCCCTCCGTCCCTCACCCCTACCTGATCCCCCCTCCCTCACCCCTACCTGTCCCTCCCTCCTTCACCCCAAGCTTCTGGCAACCACCAATTTTTTACCATCTCCATAGTTTTGCCTTTTCCAGAATGGCATATAGCTGAAACTGTACTGTAGGTAACCCTTTCAGACTGGCTTCTTTTAATTACTGATATGCATTTAAGATACTTTTTGTGGCTTGATAATTCATTTCTTTCTAGTGCTGATTAACATACATTGTGTGAGCTACCACGGTTTAGTTAGCCATTCACCCGCTGAAGGACAGCTTGATTGCTTCCAAGTTTAGGCAGTTATGAATAAAGCTTTGGCAAACATCCACACGCACGTTTTTCTGTGGACATAATTTTTCAATTCATTTCAATAGACGGGAGCAAGATGACTGGATCGTAGGGTAAGAATATATTTAGTTTTGCAAGAAGCCGCCAAACTCTGGCCCAAAGTGGATGTCCCATTTCCCATTCCCACCAGCAATTAATGGAATTTTTGGTTGTTCCACATCCTCGTCAGCATTTGGCGTTCTCCGTGTTCCAGAATTTGGCCATTCTAATAAGTGTGTGGCATATCTCGTTGTTTTAATTGGCATTTCCGTAAAGACATATGATCTTGAGCATTTTTTCATGTGCTTATTTGTCATCTCTATAGTGTTGGGAGGGAAGAATTTCCTCTACCCTTCAAGAACCTTACAGCTGGACTAAGAATCAAATTGACATGAGACAGATTAACAGGAGAAAACCAAACTGAATAGTGTGCATACAGGGAACCCACACAGATGTGGAACTTCCAGGGACAGGCGGGCAGCAGGTGCTTATATGAGCTAAGGAGAGGGCTGGGGTCCGAGGATAGAAAGACCGTTAGCAGTTAAGGTGAAAGGAGATATTTGGAAAACAAAAGTTGCCCCAGTATGTAGGTAAGTGTCTCAGGTCAGGGGGAGCCTCTGTTCATCGCTCTCTTTCTGGTACAAGCAGGCAGTTGAGGGGGAGGCAAAGATCTGTTCTTGGATCTGGTGGATTTGGATTTCTTTTACTTCGAAATAATGTTCATACTGAAGTGTCCCATCTTGGGGAGGCCCACCCTTCATCCCTGCAACATCTTCTGTGGTGAGGGATCTGTTCCAGCCTTTGGCCCATTTTTAATCGTGCTGTTTGTTTTCTTATTGTTGAGTTTTAAGAGTTCTCTGTAGAGATAACAATCCTTAACAAGATACATATTTGCAAATATTTTCTCCCTCACAGTCTGTGGCTTGTCTTTTCATCCTGTTGACTTTGCCTTTTGCAGAGCAGAAGTTTTTAATTTTAATGAAGTTCAGCTTATCAATTATTTCTTTCAGAGATCATGCCTTTGATGTTGTATTTTCTTTTCTTTTCTTTTACTTTTTTTTTTTTAAATTTCTGAGAGAGAGAGACAGCATGAGCAGGGGAGGGTCAGAGAGAGAGGGAGACAGAATCCGAAACAGGCTCCAGGCTCTGAGCTGGCTGTCAGCACAGAGCCGGACACAGGGCTCAAACCCACGAACTGTGAGATCATGACCTGAGCCGAAGTCGGCCACCCAACCGACTGAGCCACCCAGGCGCCCCTGATGTTGTATTTTAAAAGTCACCACCACGTCCAAGGTTTCCTCCATAGAGCCGAGGGTGCCAGAATATGCCACCCCAAAATATGCTACGTTGGCATATGGATTACTTTAAGCAAAAAAAGCCATTGAGCACCAGCAGATACAAGAAAAGCTCTGAAAACAGGTCACGGTTTCCTTTCCTGAAGGCAATTTGCATTTAAAAGGAAGTTTCCATTTGTAGAGATGTCTCTCTCTCCTTTACCAGCCAAAGGAGGACTATCAATAACACTCATGAGTGGAGAGGCAGAGGCTGCAACGTGCAGAGCAAACGTTACTGAGTAATGCTAGTTAACACGCTTTCCCCGTCACCTTCCCATGACTTGCCTCCCCAGCCCAGAAGACCAGAATCTCTGCCCCTTGGTTTTAGCCTAAAATGACATGTAAACCCCAAGTTCTAACCCCTTAGAGTTACTCACCTCTGGGTATTGCCATGTGTAGGCAAAGAGCACATGCTAATAAACTTCTCTTTGTTTTTCTTTTGTTCATCTGTCTCTGGCCAGCCTCATTTCAAGGGCTCCTTCTAGAGAACCTAAGATGGGTTGAAGAAAAATAAATTTTATCCCCTACAGGACCTAATTTTGAGGACCAGTTTTCCAGTGTACCCAGTTACTTAACCAAGACTCCCCATTTTAAAGTGAGTAAAATAATAGTTTATACACACTCAGTTTTTAGTGAGACTAAGCGAGGTGATGAATAAGAGGAGTCTCTGTACCTTAAAAGTTTAATACAGTTAATATTTAAGGGCGTTAAAACACCAAAAATACCATCATGGCACTATGTAGAAAAACAGTAACCATTGCTAAGGAGACCTAACGCCGCAAGGACTTCCACTTGCAGGGGGTAAAATACACCTCGCCAAAATATGCCTCTTTGACATATTGATTATTTTGAGCTGGTTGTTTTGATGAAACTGCAGACACAGGAAGAGCTCTGAAAACCTAGTAAAAGTGGCCCTTTTGTAAGATGTTTTCATTTATAAGGGAAATCCCCATTCGTAAGGATGTCTTCTCTGTAGCAGGAGGAGGAGAATGACTAAATCTCTAGAAAGACTTATCACTGGAGAAGGCAAGGATTTAAATCTCATGACAACCTT